GCCTGAGGGTCTTCAAACTTGGCAAGTTTAAGACTTGTGGACTTCCAACTCGCAGAATTCCTGAGCTAACATGACTGGAGGAGGAATTCTGGGAGTGGAAGTCCACAAGTCTTAAAGCTATTAAGTTTGAAGACCCCTGTCCTAGACAGTTCCATTGCAGGTGATCTTTGACACCGTCTCTGTGTTGTTTGAATTCCAACTTGCTCCAAGGAAGACCAGGTCTTCACTTAACAGCCTAAAGTCTGTAAAGATTCTCAGCCATCCAGGACAAGGTTGTCCCAAAGGTGCTTTTTTTCAGGAGGCAACTGGACTTTCTCGTTTTTTTTTTCTTTTGAAGACCTTTCACTTCTCATCCAAGAAGCTCCTTCAGCTCCGACTGGATAGTGGGAAGTGGAAGGATTGATATTCCTTGGAGACAGCTAGTCATTTGCATCCTTTTAGAGGGATGTTGAGGCCACCTGGGGGTGTGTCTGTGTTCTCAGAGTCACCTGAGTGGTGCAAATAGGTGTGGAGCCTTCTGACTGGATGGTGGGGAATGGAAGGATTGATACTCCTTGCAGACAGCTGGTCATTTGCATCCTTTTAGAGAGACGTTGAGGCCACCTGGAGGTTTATCTGTGTCCTCAGGGTCACCTGAGTGGCGCAAATGGGTGTGGAACCTTCTGACTGGATGGTGGGCAATGGAAGGATTGATATTCCTTGCAGACAGCTGGTCATTTGCATCCTTTTTCGAGGGCTGTTGAAGCCACCTGGAGGTTTACCTGTGTCCATGGGGCGTCCCTGTTGTCCTTACAGCCCAAAGCTTCCTTCTGAATATGTGTGCAGATCTGGGAATGGATTCCCACCCTTTGCAGCGCCCGTTATAGACACGGTTGCAACGCCTTCCTCTTTCCTAACGTTGGAAGAACGGGATTGTTCCTCAACCTTCTTCCTTGCTCTCCGTTTTCAGGCCTGCGAAGTTCAGAACGAGACGGAAATGGTCTGCCAGGCTCCAGCCTTGACGGTGGACCCGAACAACCAGTCGGAGCTCGCCGAACGGCCAGATGAATTTGGCTTCGTCTTGGACAACGTCTTCTCCTTGCTGATCCTCAACAAGACCAACTTCACCTACTACCCAAACCCCATCTTTGAGGCCTTCGGTCCCCCCGGGATTTTGGAACTGAAACCTGGAACCCCTTTGATCTTGAAGGTACGGGGTCAAGGATGACGCAATGCAGGAAGACTTTGGCTTACAACCACAACTGTGCCCAACATCTCCATTCATAGAGCAAGGCAGTTGTTAAGTGGTCCTGCCCCTTTTTATTATCTTTTTTTTTTTGGTTGTTAAGCAAAACGCTGCAGTTGTGAAGTGGTCGTTATGCGAATCCGGCTTCCCCCATTGACTTTGCTGGTTAGAAGCTGGCAGGGAAGGCCACAAAAGGGGATGGCCTGTGTTCTGACCCAGCCCTGCCCCCTAAACACAACAAACCCTCCGTATTTAAATCAATTTAAGTTAGAAATGCTGGCGGCCCTAGCAAAAAAAAAATTATCTCTCTAACGCAGGTGAACAAGTCTGTCCGGCAGGGAGATAAATAGTTGTCTGCCACCTCTTATTCATCTCTTCCCACTGCCTGGTATCCCCAGAACTAGGTTGGGGCTTTGCTAGCAGGCGTGGCTCTTCTGTCCCGAGGACCAGCCCATAGATTTCCACTGCTCTCCTCTCCTCTGCCTTCTGTGCATTTGCACTTCAGGCACTAGACCCAGCTATTCCTCCTCTTCCTCATCAGTCACTTTTTGACTCTCCATCTGAGGGCTGATGGATGGCTCAGGCTCCATCTCTCTCTCTCTCTCTCTCTCTGCCAACTTCATTCCCTCTTCCCTCTCGTAGCTCTCAAGTGGTCCTGATGCTGACCGTAATTCCCATGCCTCCTCTGATTTGGCTGCTGGAGAGGCCGGCAACTGACAGGCCAAAACAACAATATATTCCAGGACACGGCAACTGTCATCAGTACATGTCAGTTGCCAAGGGTCAGAATTTGGATCCCGTGACCACAGGGACGCTGCAACGGTCCTAAGTGTGAAAAATGGTCCTAAGTCGCTTTTTTCTAACTTTGAATGGACGCTAAAGGAGTGGTTGTAAGTCGAGGACTGCCTCTTTGCAAATCCTTTCCAGACCTTTGACAAGGAGCAAACTCTGGCCGAGAAGCTAGATTTAAAAAAACAAAACAAAACGGTAAATTCAAGGTGTGGACCAGTGATGGGATTCAAATTTTTTTACTACTGGTTCTGTGGGTGTGGCTTGGTGGGTGTGACGTGGCTTGGTGGGCGTAGTGTGGTTTGGTGGATGTGGCTTAGTGGGCGTGGCAGGGAAAGGTTACTGCAAAATCCCCCTTCCCTCCCCACCCCACTAACCTGCTTTCCAGCTCCATTCTCCTGTGCAGGGCACCCAAAGAAGACCCCTCTGACCAGCTGGACTCAGGAGGCAGAGAATAGATGGGGTTGGCGGGGCCAGTCAGAGGTGGGATTGGCCGGTTCTCTGAACTACTCAACATCTCCGCTACCAGGTCTCCAGAACCCTTCAGAACCAGCTGAATACCACCGCTGGCGTGGACTTCTTGCCATCTTTTATTTTAAAATCTTTATTTAAGTGCATTTGCTAATCAATATCCAGTGGACTCCATGGAGTTTGTTGGGCTATCTCAGGTGTCCCCCCACTTACAAGCATTAATTCAGTTAACAGTCAAGGTTACAGTGACACTGAAAAAAATAACTGACAAACGGTCCTCATACTTATGACCATGGCAGTGTCCCCATAGACACGTGATTGGAATTCCGGTGGTTATGTACTTACGACAATTTCACAGCCCGGGGTCATGGGATTCTCACTTGTGACCTCCCCAGCTGACTTTCAATAAACAATTTCTCATTGATTCATCCCTTATTGATTGAGTTGTCAGGGCTCCTCCGGCAGTTACCCCATTTAAATCATGAGTCTCTAGCTGAACTTCCAAAACTTAAAGAAGATTTATTAGGAGTAAACATGCCGGCACTGCCTGGGTGTAGCCAACTCTGAGACACATCATTCATTGATCCTGGATTTCCCCCCACCCCCTGGGTGTATCGTAATTCATATCCTCCGATGGGACACCTCCATAGCCCAGAGTCATCAATCATGTTCTCCAGTTAGAATTTTGCATGGCAGAAACTTTGGTCACCTAGTTACTATCTTTGAAAACATTTGTGGAATGCTAGCTGCCCACCGCTCCCTTTCGGTTGACAACTCTAAAAAGACCATAGAAATATTTTATGAGTTGACGTTAGTTATTTACTACTGATTGATTAATTTATTAAATTTATATGCTGCTAATCTCACTGTCCACCCACGTGGTTTCTCTTGGCCTAGGGGAAGAACTTAACCCCGCCGGTGGCAGGAGGGAACGCTAAGCTGAATTACACTGTGCTGATTGGGGAAAAGCCCTGCGTGGTTACGGTCTCCGATGTCCAACTGTTGTGTGAATCCCCAAATCTTACAGGACGACATAAAGTTACGGTAAGGAATACTGCCAGCGTGTTACGGAGTTACAGTGATTTTTTTTTTTTACTCTAAAAAGAATCAATCAAAAAGTCAATAGTGCCTTGGAACCTGGAGAACATTGTTGTCGCTGCAAAGAGAACAAAATGACTCCTTTTTTGCATAATTTATTGTCCCTCATTTTATTCTTGCGTGGCAAGTAGATAGATAGAATTCTTTTATTGGCCAAGTGTGATTGGACACACAAGGAATTTGTCTTGGTGCAAATGCTCTCAGTGTACGTAAAAGAAAAGAGACATTTGTCAAGAGTCAGGAATCATCAGGTACAACACTTAATGACAGTCATAGGGTACAACAAGCAATCAAATCATACTAGGAAACAGTCCATATAAATCATAAGGGTACAAACGACAAAGTTACAGTCCTACAGTCACAAGTGGGAGGGGATGGGTGATAAGGAGTGATGAGAAGATGAATAGTAATAGTAGTGCAGACTTTGTAAATAGTTGGACAGTGTTGAGGGAATTATTTGTTTAGCAGAGTGATGGCTTTAGGGAAAAAACTGTCTTTGCATCTAGTTGTTCTGGTGTGCAGGGCTCTATAGCGTCGCTTTGAGGGTAGGAGTTGAAACAGTTTATGTCTGGGATGTGAGGAGTCTGTAAATATTTTCACAGTCCTCTTTAGTAAAGGGGAGAGCCTTACTTTTAATATCAGTTTTAATAGCCTTAATATTTTACTTCCTGAAATTTCAACAGGGAACTTCCTCTGTTGATTCCATCACCCCTTGACTCATGAGATCTAGTGACTTCATCTTTCGCTAGAAGTGAATAGAAGGGGTCTTGACCTTATCAAGTTAGATTTCTGGAGCCTTTCTCAGCCTTGGCTTCTTTAAGAGGAGTGAGATTTCAACTCCCAGGATTCCCCCAGCCAGCATGGACCATGAGGACTAGTGACTTTGTCTTTTAACAAGGAGTAGAAAATGTAAGAAGTGGGACTTGAGCTTAGCAAGTGAGCTTAGTGCAATGTTTCACAAGCTTGACTCCTTTAAGAAGTGTGTGGGGACCTCAAATTCCCAGGATTCTCCAGCCAGCATGGACCGTGAGAACTAGTGACTTTGTCTTTCTCAACTTTATTCAGAAGATTAAAATGCAAAATCCCAAAGGGGAAAAAAAAAAACTTAACAGAGACCAAAACCCAACAAAAAACATTTTAAAAAAGTGAATTAAAAACAGCAATAGAGAGAAACACATCTAGGAGTGTGTGTGTGTGAGAGAGAGAGAGAGATTTCATCTTTCACAAGGAGAAGACCATGAGATCTAGTGACTTCATCTTTCACTAGGAGAAGTGAACGTTAGAAGTGGGTCTTGACTTTATCAAGCTAGACCGCTGCGGTCTTTTTTCAGCCTTGGCTCCTTTAAGAGGAGTGGGACTTCAACTCCCAGGATTCCCCAAGCCATGAGATGGAGTGATTTGCTGGCTAAGGGAATGCTGGGAGTTGAAGTCCCACGCCTCTTAAAGGGGCCAAGGTTGACTTAGTCCCTCGCTCTCGCCACAGGCTCGTGTTGGAGGCATGGAGTTCTCTCCTGGCATGGTCAACATCTCCTCTGACAGCCCGCTCAGCCTGCCCGCCATTGTCAGCATCGCCGTGGCTGGCGGCCTGCTCATCATCTTCATCGTGGCCGTCCTGATTGCCTACAAGCGGAAGTCTCGGGAAAGCGATCTCACGCTCAAAAGGCTGCAGATGCAGATGGACAATCTGGAGTCCAGGGTGGCTTTGGAGTGCAAGGAAGGTACTACGAGCTGAAGGGGTGACCTGTTCTAACCTGGGCTTCCCAAAAATCACGAAGCAGACTCCTCGTCCCGACAAAAACCCCTTTTGATTTAGGCTAATGGGAATTCCTCTCGTTCACATCCAGCCAAGTCCCTGGCAGACAGTCTTTCAAGAGGGATTTACACCCACAGACCTGATCGGGCTTGCAGAGCTGCCAGGCCGATAGCTTCCAAGCGCCACACTGTAGCAGGAAATGCTTGGCAGGGAATCACAAACAAATCTTCACCCTAATTAAACGAAACAATTGTCTCCTGCGAACCCCACTCCCCTTTCGCTCCTCTTTATTCCCTAGGGGAGGGGCCATTCACCGTCCACCTGAGCCTTTACTCCTGAGTCGACCCTTGTTCCTTAGTTGTTCCCTTCTCCTGGCAGCTCTGTGCATGCGCATACTGGGAACAGGCTCCAGCCACTGATCTCTGACTCCGAAGGCGGCTGATAACTGTCAGACGGCCCTGGCCCCATTTCTGCCTCCGACACAGAGCACCCGTCAGAGCCTTCCCCAGACTCCAGGACTGGCCCAGGTTCCTCCCCAACCTCCTCACTATCCGAGTCTGCCACCAGCTCCGCTGGCCGCTGGCGGGCCGCAACATTACCAAGGCTTCAGATAAATTGCCGATGGCCATGTGAGGTAGTCCAGATAGGAAGCACGCCCAGTTGAGCTAATTCTACTCTAGTGTAAGGTGACATTAACAGAATCTTGCAAGTCTGAAAGGATATTTTCTTTCAGATTTCCCTGTATAGCTTAAGATACTAGGGAGGTGTTCTGACTCAAACCTTGTTCCAAGGAAGCAAACACGAAACAGAGGTAACCGCAAAACCGTTTAATTATTCTTTACAAATTCCATTCCTTCACAGTTAAAAGGCTGTTTCAAATTAATTATCTCTAATAAGAACGAGCCTTGCCGAGGTTGTGCAAGGCTGCCAAGAACACTAGATAAAGTTACTAAGAAATATTTCAAACACAAAGAGTTTCCAAACACCAATCAAGATATTCCGAACGTCCACAAGGCTTGAGTGCAAAAACGTCTTTGCTTCCTGCAAAGAACTCTGGTTTCTCAGCTGGCTTTTATCTCTTGAGGGAGGGGCCATTATCTTGCAGCCTTCCTTCTGAGTTGCCTGTGCTACTGTAGCTGCTCTTTCCTTCGAGTAGCCCTGTGTGCACGCACACTGTGCACAGGCTCCTCGGGGGCCTCTTCCTCACTGCTGCCAGCCTCCACAATCTCTACTCCCTGATGGTCATGGCCCCATCCCTGCATCACACGCAGGCCCCTCATCCGAGTCCTCACTCTCTGAGACCTCAGCCGTCCACACCTGCTGTTGGCAAACCACAACAGGAAGTTACAATGGCTTTCCTCCCACCCTCCCCGTGGTCACATGACTGCACTGAGCACTTGGCAACCAGCCTATATTTTTTTTTTTAAATAAACTTTATTAGTTTTACTTTTTAAAAAACAACAACAACACAGCTACAAAGTATATATGCAACACCTCCATCGTCATGTGACTACAAGTTACGACATTTTTGCCCAAAATCAGCATGTACTTCCAGTTCCTGCAAAACACAACCGTAGGGAATATTGGGCTTGCTTAACAACCGCCGCATTTGCTAAACGGCCACCGCATTCTGACAAGCAGAGTCAATGGGGAAACCAGGTTCTCTTAATGGCTGCATGATTCACTTAACAACTGCAATGGTTTGCTCAAAAACGGTGGCCCCAAAAGGGTGTAAAATGTGGCAAAAGCTGACAAAACGACTGCCTTGCTTAGCCGTGAACATTTTGAGCTCAGGGGTGTTTGAAAATTGAGGACTCGCTGTTACGGGTGGTGAAATAAGAGGTAAATCTCACGGCTTTATATTGGCTGCATTCTCACAACACACTTAACTGGGATAAGATAAGATCTAACAAATAACACTTTCCTCTTAATATGGCTGATGCACGATGAGGGTTTCTTTTTCCTCTGACCGTCAATCTGCTGTTTTTACTGCTAAAGCTGGTTCTTTGACGGTGTCCCTGGTTTCGAAGGGGAGCGCTTAGGAGTGACCCAAGATGACTTTGGAACAAGGCTGGGCTGCTGGGGGTTAGCTAAGATTCTCTGCAGTTCAGAGAACCCCCAAATCCACTCCTGGCTGGCCCCGCCCCACCCACCCCAACCTGCCTCTCCCAGGAGTCCCCACGTGGCCCATTTTGGGTGCAGGTAAGTGCAGGGTCCTAATGGAGGCTTGGAAAGAGTGAAAAACAGGCCTCCTGAAAGTTCGGGAAGGCCGGAAATGGGCCCGTTTCCAGCTTCCGAAGAGCCTCCAGAGCTCAGGGAGGCTGTTTTCGTTCACCTGGAGGCTCAAGGAAAGACTCCGGAGCCCGGGGAGGCTAAAAACATCCTCCCCACCATGGTACAGAGAATCCTTCGCTAAATTTTTTGAAGCCCATCCCTGCTTTGGGGTGGACAATCTTGAATCCAGTGGAGAAGGTTCTGAAGCGATCGAAAAGTCTTTCTTCTGGAAGCGATCGAAAAGTCCCTGGATGTATCCACCTTCCTGTCAGCAGTTTCGTTATCTGAAAGCACGCCGGCATGTTAACGTTCATTTTTGGAATGTATTGCTTGATTTTGCTTTTTGCTTCGAAAGTTGATTAGCGGTTGAATGCTGATTTATTTCAGCCCCCTAACTGGACTCTTAAGTGCTGTTTTTCCCTTTTTTCTTTTTGATATCTGTTATTCTGGATAACCTCTGGGTTAGAGTTTGCAGCAGAAATCCAAGTCCAGAAAACATACAGAGACAACTGATTCAGCAGGATCCTTAACTTCTTTATAAACAAAATAACACGAAGTAAAGTTTACAATACCATTTGTAGATTCTTTCAGTGTAATGTAAGCAAAAAACACAAGCAGCAGCAGCTCAAAGCAGGTATCAGTTTCAGCAAACAAGCAAGCTAGTTTCATTTTCAATTCTCAGCAAAGCACATAGAGCCAAACCACACCCAGGTTATCAAATCCCATTGGCTGGTCTGTTGCCATGCTTACTTTGTTAACCATGTCCCTGCCAGTTAATGAATATACTCTGACACTCTGTCCCTTCCATATGGAAAGTCCAGCAGCGTTCAGGGAGGGGGTGAAGAGCGGTCCGGCTCTCGCCATTGAATTTTAGTATTTTTTGAATTTGAAAAATACCTGAACTTGATTTTTATTGAAATTTTCTTATAACCCTGGATTGAAATATAGAGTAAAACGTACTTCTCTTATTCTTTGTTCTCTAACTAAGTTTCATAGATGAAAATGGCTGAGCAGTGCCTGAAATCTAAGAAAGAAAGATAGGGAAATGTGCAGCTTCGAGCTGGATTTCTCTTTCAAAAGCTTGATCAAAAAGGAATGATTGTACAAAAAAAAAAAAATAATGTTAGGGCATGAAGACAAAGTTACACAAAAGGACGTTAATCCAGTTCCAAATCAAAGTGATAATCTCAGGGCTGGAAAACTAACAAAATGGACTTCACCTGTTGCTCCAAAGTTTAAGTTTACATATTTCTTTAATATTACAACTTTGATCAGAAGTGGAAGAACAATTTCCTAGATGGATTTATTACAGTTAATTGGCAACTACTTTTGTTTGCACCTGGATGGGATGATAAATTTATTCTGGAGACTGAATTTATATTTAATTAAACAACAATTGAAAAGAGATGGTATTAAAATATTTGACCCAGGAGGAATTATAATTTATAACTGTTGGTTTGACGTGGGAAAGATAAGATAAAAGTTGGTAAATTTTCTATGAGTGGATTACAAATAACGATTTGTTAACGGAGAGATTTGAAACTTTAATTTTGTTTTGTTTTCTTATTATTGTTTTTCCTGTTAACTACTATGTTATGTTAAAGTCAGGTCAAAACAGGTTGCAAATAGATTTAGTAGTTTAAACTTTTTGGAAGGGCCTGTTTTACAAAGGGTGGGAATTAATGTTGTAGTAATATATTAATCAGTATTCAATTAGAGGGGATTATAATCAGTGGTGGGATTCAAATTTTTTTACTACTGGTTCCGTGGGGGTGGCTTGGTGGGCGTGGCAGGGGAAGGATACTGTAAAATCTCCAGCCAGACGTATATTTGCCGGTTCTCCGAACTACTCAAAATTTCCACTACCGGTTCTCCAGAACTGGTCAGAACCTGCTGAAGACCACCACTGGTTATAATATGTTGGTTTTTATTCTTTTCTAAGTCACCTTTTTAATACTTCGATTGTTTTGTGTTCTGATTTTTTTTTCTTTTTGGTTTCTGTTTGGAATTTCTTTTTTGCTTTGTATTTTGTATTTTAATTTTGTGGTGAATAAAATAAAAATATAAATATTTACAAAAAGATCTACCGAGTAACTTATTATAGTTCTCACTAGGCTTAGGTTATTTTTCCAAGTGAGTGTGCTGTGCAAACCAATGTGTTGTTTTTTTTTTACAGTTTGCAGTATTGATCCTGAACTCAAAAAATCAGTTCAATCGGTTAAAGTATGCTGTGTGAATGCAAACAATGAGTTGTTAAGTTAGATAATTCTGGCCAAATCTTGCTACAATACACTCTCTTGGATCTTCGACCTGCATTAAAAATACAGATAGTCCTCTACTTACGACCACAACTGAGCCCAAAATTTATGTTGCTAAGCGAGACGTGTGTTAAGTGCATTTTTGTCCCGTTTTACGACCTTTCTTGCCACCGTTGTTAAGCGAATCATTGCAGGTGTTAGGTTAGTCACATGGCTGTTGAATGCATCTGGTTTTGTCATTGATTTTGTTTGTCAGAAAGTCACAAAAGGGGATCGCGTGACTCCCCGGGACACTGTGACCGTCATAACTATGAGTCAGTTGCCAACGATTCTGAATTTTGATCACGTCACCGTGAGGATGCTTCCATGGACGTAAGGGTGAGAAATAGTCCTAAGTCACTTTTTTTACAGGGCTGTTTTAACTTTGAACAGTCACTCAATGAACTGTTGTAAGTCAAGGACCACCTGTATTCTCCCTTGAACGGTTCATTCTTCCTTTTTTAAAAAATAAATAAATAAATTCCTTCCCCTCCCCCGCCTCCAATCACAGCTTTTGCAGAACTCCAGACCGACATCCATGAGCTGACAAGTGACTTGGATGGAGCAGGAATACCGTTTCTGGATTATCGGACGTACACCATGAGAGTCCTTTTCCCTGGGATTGAAGACCACCCAGTACTCAGGGATCTGGAGGTAAGAATTTGGGATGGAAGAGAAACTGACGCATGGAAGGCGGCGGGGCGGGGGGGGATTCAGACCGGTTCAGACCGGTTTGGTTGAACCGGCTGTTACAACCGTTGTTCATACCACGCTCACCGAACCGGTTGTTTATACCGGTTGAATCCCACCACTGATGCAGCCTTCATCAAACGTCCTGAAACGCAAACAGCTTTGAAAAGCAAAACCTCTTTTAAGGCAATGCTGGGAAGGACTTTCATTTCCAGCCAGAACTAATTATAATTATAACCAATTATGTGACATCTACTTGACCCGTTAGAGCGAGGAGACAGGGAACGCTGAGGGTCCCACCCCTGAGGGAGATACACCTGGTGGGACCTAGGAGAAGGGCCTTCTCTGTGGTGGCTCCTTCTCTCTGGAACCTCAGAGAGAACCTCATTAATACTCTTCCGAAAGGCACCAAAGACCTGGTTTTGCCAGGGGACACGCAGAACCCAGAGAGTCATGGAACCCATCAAATGGCTAGTGTGACCCGCTTCTGTCGGGGAGAGGGGTGGAAGTTGGTTTTTTGTTTTTGTTTTGCCAAATTTTGTTCTGTTGTACTTGATTCATTCATTTCATTCTTTTTGTCATTTCTTATTGTTTTTATTTGCTGATATGAGATCTCTCGCTTGATCAGGGGGTTGGTCTGGAAGACCTCTAAGGCCCCCTCCGACTCTTGTTCTTCTCTTAATACCCTCATGATCAACAACTAAGGCAGGGGGTCCCCAAACTTGGCCACTGGAAGACTTATGGACTTCCAACTCCCAGAATTCTCCAGCCAGCTATGCTCAGCTGTGCTGAGTTGCCAAGTTTGGAGTCCTCTGTCCGAAGACAACTAGGCACGGCTACTGTTAACGAAGAGAAGGACCAGGGGCGACGTGATAGCCGTCTTCCAATGCTTGAAGGGCTGCCAGAGAGAAGAGGGGGAGGAGGGGTCAGGTGTTTGGACCGCCATTTGTCTAAAACGGTGAAGGGTTTCCTGCTTTAAACAGGGCCGGGGTCTTGGACTAGAACAGGGGTCCCCAACCACCAGGCCGTGGACCGGTCCCGGTCCGTGGAACATTTCCTACCGGGCCACCAGTTTGCTGGGCGCCGCCAACTTGTTTGACAAGAAAGTGCTTCCGGGTGAGCTTTTCCGGTTGGAAAGCGGCGTTTGGGTCCTGAAGGAATCCTTGCGCCTTAGTTTCATCGAAGGGGGGGGGGCTTTGAACGAAACTAAGGCGCGAGGATTCTTTCAGCACCCAAGGCAAGGCGAGCGGAGCGACCGTCCCGAAGCCGTCCCGAAGCGAAGCCCAGCGACAAAGGTACAAAGGAGGAGTTGAAGGTGGCGGGGAGAAGTGGGGGATGGCCAGCTGGCCAGTCGCTCAGCTCGCCGTGCCTTGTCATGCATGCTGATGCCGGTACCGGGCTGCAGATCATTTTGTGATGCTGGTACCGGGCCGTGGCACAAGAAAGGTTGGGGACCACTGGACTAGAAGACCTCCAACTCTTCTGTTATTCTGTTTTGGGGCAAGGTTCCCGGCTATCGGCAAGAGCGGGTAGAGAAAGGCCTCAAGTTCTTCGCCCAGCTCATCAACAACAAGGCCTTCCTGCTCTCCTTCATCCGCACGCTGGAGTCTCAGCGCAGCTTCTCCATGCGGGACCGTGGCAACGTGGCCTCCCTCATCATGACCGTGCTGCAGAGCAAGCTAGAATACGCCACCGATGTCCTCAAGCAGCTCCTGGCTGACCTGATCGACAAGAACCTGGAGAGTAAAAATCACCCCAAGTTGCTTCTGCGGAGGTAAGCCTGCCGGAAAGGGGTCGGGGGGTCTTTCTCCATCCAGACCAGAGTCTCCATTGGAGGGTTGGGGAAAATAATAGCGGAGTCTTGGATGACAAAGTGGAAGGCAGGACCGACGTCGGACTGGTCCGGTGTGGAAGCGTGGCGTTC